GTGTCATGATTGATACTTTAGTTCGGTTTCCTACATGAACAGTATCTTGGATTTAACTTTCTAAATGGCTGCTTCTAGCTCTAAATTTAATCTATGCCTCAGTTCTGTGTACCTCTCCCCTTCCCTGTGGCCCTTCAGTGATAAATATCTACAGGTTAAGATAATTTCTATCACCTAATTTTGTCAACATGAGTTGACAAAGCTTTGGAAATAGGTGGAATTGGTTTCTTTGTCTGGCCCAGCTCCATTATTTCTCTATCTTTCTCACCCAACACCCCCCCCACACACACACACACTTTCTTCCCTTTTTTCTTATAAGTGGGGGACTTTTAAAATAACTATGATTCTTTCCAATCGTTTGTGGAAAGAAAATTCTTTCATGTGGATTCACAACATAACATCAGTCATTGTAGTAAGAAGAGTGCACTTTGAAAAAAAACCCTGGAGTAAACAACAAGAAGAAAGAAAAAGCAGATTATGAACCACAACCATTAAATTAGTTTGGAATGTAAACCACAGAGTGCAGTGCAGAATGAATAGGTTGCTGAAAGAAAGTTACTGTAAGTGAAATCTAATGTGATACTCACCTATAAATTACATCCGTCAGTATCATGGGGTGTTAGGAGTTTCAGTCCAGTATACTGTATATGGATATAAAATGGAATTTTAAGGAAATGACCTATAGAAGCAGAAAGACAATATGAAAAGACAAACAGCAAAGTCTGTAAAGATTCTCAGTCATCCAGGTCATGGTTGTCCCAAAGGTGCTTTTTTCAGGAGGCAATGACTTTCTTGTTTTTTCTTTGAAGACGTTTCAAAGAGATTCTACCCAGGGGTGGGTTCTACTTACCTTTACTACCAGTCCGCATCATGCCCGCGCATGCGCAGATCACCTATGATGACATCCGGGTCAGTGGGCGAAGCCTCCTGCCGGTTTTACCGGGGTCAACCCACCACTGATTCTACGGGTTTAGACCGGTTTGGGTGAACCGTTAACTCCAACTTTCAGCCATGAGCGAACCTGTTCACTCTGTCTTTAAAGTGGGTCCGCCTGCCCGCCCCTGTGTTATACTCACCTATATTTCCATTTCCGAAGCCCAGCTGATTACCACGCCTCAGCTGTTTTCCTTGCTGGCTACAATGCAGAAAGTGAACCGGTTCGCTCAGCGAACCAGTTGTTAAACCAGGGTAGAATTAACCAGGGTAGGATCCCACCCCTGCTTCTCATCCAAGAAGCTTCTTCAGTTCTGACAGGATAGTGGGGAATGGAAGGATTTATATTCCTTGCAGGCAGTTGGTCATTTGTATCCTTTTAGAGGGTCGTTGAACAGAGGTGGTGTTCAGTAAGTTCTGACCAGTTCTGGAGAACCGGTAGCGGAAATTTTGAGTAGTCCGAAGAACAGATAAATACCACCTCTGACTGGCCCCACCACCATCTATTCTCTGCCTTCCGAGTCCCAGCTGATCAGAAGGAAATGGGGACTTTGCAGTAACCTTCCTCTGGAGTGGGGAGGGAATGGAGATTTTACAGGATCCTTCCCTTGTAGTGGGGTGGAAATGGAGATTTTACAGTAAACTTCCCCTGCCACACCCACCAAGCCATGCCCACCAAACCACGCCCACAGAACCGGTAGTAAAAAAATTTGAATCCCACCACTGTTGTTGAAGCCCTTGGAGGTTTATCTGTGTCCTCAGGGTCATTGTATAGCTAAAAGTCTGTAGAGATACTCAGTCATCCAGATCCCAAAAGCACTTTTTCAGGAGACAACTCAACATTTTTCTTTGACTTTTACCTATACAATTTGGGATGAACACCCTTTGAATGGTGTGGGAGTAGGAATGGATTTCCAGAGAAAAGAATTGCAGACTACAGGGACCAGGAACACCACTCAGGTGACCCTGAGGACAGAGATAAACCTCCAAGGGCTTCAATGACCCTGTAAAAGGATGCAAATGACCAGATGTCTGCAAGGAATATAAATCCTTCCATTTCCCACTATCTGGTCAGAGCTGAAGAAGCTTCTTAGATGAGAAGCGAAACAGCTTCAAAGAAAAAAAACAGTCCAGTTGCCTCCTGAAACTTTGGGAAAGACAAGCAGCAGATATGACAACTGAAGATGATGGAAGCAAGTAAAAGATAATGTGATATCTTTCTATCTTGTCCAGGGAACATCCTTACCAAGCAGGATCACAATGCATTCCTCAACATTGTACTTATCCACCAATATTATTGGCTCTTTAAAAAATAATCCACACAATCAGGTGCATGTTTTAGCCCTACGTTTGATCACCAAAATCTAGAGAACTACCTGGAAATGTTTATTTAATTCCCTATTTAGGAGATTTTCTTTACTATTAAGGTCACCTTTTCTAGAATTGGCAGTTCATACTGATGTAAAATTTGCAGTCCTAAAAAAAATGCCCCTATTTTTTATAGTAGTTTACTTAAGGATTTCAATTTACAATCAAAATTAATACAAAGAAAGAAAAGAATAAAAAGAAAAAATAGAAGGTGCAGAAAAGGAAAAATAGAAAAGAAAGAAAATCTTTCAATATTAATAGCTTTGAATATCAATGTTGTTGGTTTGGGCTCCGAGCTTGGTGATTTGGTTGCAAACGTTTCGTCCCCATTTGAGGAGACCTCTTCAGTGCGCTTTGGATTGTGCTTGTTTGGTGGAGCACTGGCCTTTAAATACCTTTCTGAGTCCTGGTCTGATTTCAGGTTGTGTGATTGGCTCAGTGGTGAAATCTAAAATTTGTTACTACCAGTTCTATGGGCGTGGCTTAGTGGAGGGGTAATGTGACTGGGTGGGCATGGCCAATTTTTTTTAACTTTTAAAACCATTTTTTCTACAACCATTTCGGTGAAGAGGTTGTAAAAAAATGCTTTCAAAAGGCTCTGACGATCCCAGCTGAGTTGCCTGATCATCAAAGGCTTTTTTTCTTTTAAAAGCCTCTGCCGATCAGGCAACTCAGCTTGGATCGTCAGAGACATTTAAAAGAAAAAAAGCCTCTGCTGATTAGACAACTCAGCTTGGATCATCAGAGGCTTTTAAAAGAAAAAAAGCCTCTGCCGATCAGGCAACTCATCTTGGATCGTCAGAGGCATTTAAAAGAAAAAAAGCCTCTGCTGATTAGACAACTCAGCTGGGATCATCAGAGGCTTTTAAAAGCATTTGACGATCCCAGCTGAGCCACGTGAACATCAGAGACTTTTTTTTTTACTTTTAAAAGCATTTTTTCTGCCGAAGAGGTTGTAGAAAAAATGCTTTTAAAAATTAAAAAAAAAAAGCCTCTGATGATTGTGTGGCTCAGCTGGGCATGCGGGGGGGAGGGCAGGGATTTTTGTTACCGGTTCTCCGAACCACCCGCCCCCATCCCTACTGGATCGGGTGATCCAATCCGAACCTGGAGCATTTCACCCCTGGATTGGCTGGCTCTAGTTGCAGATGGTACTTAAAACCAAGGACTATGACTCAGCAACTAAACAAGGACAATCCAAAGTGCACTGAAGATGTCTCCTCGAATGGGGATGAAAAGTTTGAAACCAAATCGCCAAGATCAGACCTCAACCCAACAACAACAAAGAAAGAAAAAAATAAGAATATAGCAAATAGCAATAGAGTTACAGTATATACTGTTCCATAGTGCTTTACAGCACTCTGGGTGGTTTACACTCTCAGCATATTGCCCCCAACAATCTGGTCCTCATTTTACCTACCTTGGAAGGATGGAAGGCTGAGTCAACCTTAAGCCCCATCAGGATTGAATTCCAGGCTGTGGAAGAGTCAGCCTGCAATACTGCATTCTAACCACTGTACCATCAGGGTTCCTAAATAAAAAGAACTATATAGTGTAAATAAGTCATTTCCCCTTCATCACAACACTTTTATTAATTCATCACCTTCTCTTAAATGCTACAATGGTCAGCAAGATGATTTGTTTCCTTGTCTCCCAGAGCTTTAAACCTGCAAGAGACCACTGTCTTTCATTCTTCTTGCACGGAACAAATATCTGGAGCACTTGTGGGCCATCTCAAGTCTTCTCCTTGCCCAGAGAGGAATTATAAAGAGCTGTTATACTGACTGGCTCCTCACTGTACCATCTTTAGATTGCTATTTCTTCCCCAGAAGTCCCCTCATTGCAATTCCTATTCACTGCAGAATCTCCTGACTTTTCTCCAAAGTGATGGGCAGCAAAGCCAAACAAATTTTGCACACCTTGAGGCTGCCACAGGATACTGATGAAATAAAGGGGGAAAATTGTATTTTAATGTTTGTGAAGCTGAGGAAGTTATGGGAACAAGGACATATTAAGTGTTGTTAGCACATGATTACGCTGCAGTTCAATCGAAGTGGAGACGGAGACTCTGTGAATCTTTGTTGGTTTCAAGCTGCATTCAGTTAAGGGATTTGATCCATAATTGTTAACTGTTGTGGATGTTGTTTTTATCTAATATCAAACAATTAACTTGCTTTAAAGAGTGCGGGCTCATGTCCTCCAAAAGGTTGAGAATGCAACCACCTTCCATTATGGACCTGCTGGCTACAAATAATGGAAATTTCATTCAACTCATCTGGAAGGTGTCAATATAATATGGTAAAAATAGAAGAATAAAATCGTATCCTATCACCCATTAAAAATATTTTTGCAAGGGCATATTCAGCATTTGCTTTAATGTCAGTTGTTTCATTGTTTTGCAGATATTGGACCAACCATTTCCCATTTTAACTAGAGGAACTATATATTAGAAGGCTAGGCTCTAAAATACAGTTTATTTATTTCCTTCCTCACTACCACTCCCTCCACCCAGCTCTGCCATGAACTGGTGACCACACGATGGAGCAGGCCATGTGCCTCTTGCGGTTTTCCTCTAGTCTCTGCTGTTCTTTCGTAGTTGTGACCACAACTACCTGTGGGGTGAGGCAGGAAATTACCTCCCTTGTGTGACCGAGCAAAGCCTGAACTAATTCCCCAGGAGCTGCATTTGTTTCTGCTTAATTTTAGTTCCTTGAAGTTTATAAAGAAGTTTTTCTCGAAAAGGGTCAGACGCCATCTGCCAGCTACAACCGTTGGCAGACAAAATGGAAGCAGCGAGAAGTCCCAGGGGAGAAGAAGACAGATTCCCGGGTAAGAAGAAAAAATTGTATCCAAATCTCATTCCTTAACCATGTATGCTAAAACCTCTCTTTCAAGGCAGCTATCAACAATCATTTACCCTGACATTATGCTGCCAGGGAGCTGCAGTCATCTATGCTTTGGTTCAATATTTGTTTCCGATTAGTATGCTATCCCTTCACATGACTTTTATCTCTCAGGGCGTCTCTGCTACTGGAGGCTGCCTTGGCAACAGACTGGAGGCATCATTAAAGGGCAGCAAATTGTTATTTGATTTGTCAATATTATATTTTTCCTGCCAAATAGGGAAAACCTATATGTGGATAGGTTCATCACCCCAAAATACTCCATCCATTGCCAAAAGAACTTGGCTGACTTGGCTACTATGATAGTACTTTGTTAGGCAGCAACATTTTGGAGGTCTTTGGAAGGTCTCTAGGTCTCTCTGCCTCTCTCTCTCTCTCTCTCTCTCTCTCTCCCTCCCTCCCTCTCTCTCCCCCTCCCCCCACCCCCTCTCTCACTTATGCATGCAGATAGGGAAAAAAGCCTGGCTAAGAGCGCATGTGGCATTTTGTTTTAATTATAGTTTATTTAAAAGCTGTATTGGCTGTATATTTTCCCAACAGGTTAAACCAGAAAATATTTTTCATAAAACACAGTGACTGGTACAGTGACAGTACCAAAAGGTGTATCATTATGGCTTAGTCTCTGTATGTATCTGTTTCTAGGACCTGGGAATTTTCAGTCACGCTAAACATGGTTAAAAATGGGCCTTTTATATATCTATTGTTCTGTTCAACGTGTGAGCACACAAAATGGACATTTCCTGTTTTTTCCGTATTGTACAGAAGGTGGCAGTAGATGCTTTCAAAGTAGATGGTCTTCCTTTTTTCTTTTTTTCTTTTCTTTTTTCTTTTTTTGTGTGGGACTGAAGACTAATGTAGACAACTGAAGTGAAAGTAGTATTTTTGGTCAGTTCCAAAATATTGAAATTTAAATGCTAAAGATTTCAGATTTTAGAGACAAGGATTATCTGTCACTTCCTTCTTTAATGTTCCCATACAGTAGTAAATGATAAGTATGACATTGTGGCTCTTAGAAATGGAATTTTTGACATGCAGATATTTGAAGCTTACTGGCCCCTGTGAAAATATTGGCCTTCTTAAATCCTCAAGTCCTCGGATCCTTAAATATGCCTGTAAGTAAATTCTGAGAACAGAAAACCTTGAGCTCTTAAAAAAAAAAAACAAGACAAAAATAGGGCTACTGGAACAAAGCTGGGTACATTTCAGCGTATTTCACAACTATATGTCTTGCAAGAATCACTAAGGACATTATGAAAGATTAAAAATCATTCCAGCATGACCGCTATGATGAAAGGGTGATGATTTGCCATATCCAATGGTAGAGGCAATCCTACAAAAATATATGGCAAAAAGTGATATATGACTTCACCAATTCATTGCTTGTTCTTCTATCTATACAAGCAGCAATGGAAGATATGGGCTAGTTTTCTTGTAATACAAAAATGCAATCAGAGCAGTAAAATCTGTTATTTTATTTATTTATAAAATTTATTGGTTGCCCATGTTACCACAGGATAACTCTGGGCAGCTTAAAATCACAAACACACACATACACACATATATTTATTTGGTAATGAGCCAACCAAAAATCAGATATTTAAATTAGATGGTAATAAGTTAGAAGGCACACTAGATACTAACACACAAAAATGATTAATCAAAGTAAGATTCTGAAGTAGGGGAACATGTAGCATGCCCAACCATAGCCCTGGTTTTGGCCTACGCACTTTTTAAATATATATATATATAATTCTGCATAAGTGATCCAAATCTGCCTTGTCATATCAGAGTTGAAAGGCAGCTTGTCTTCTGATGTGGTAATTCAGGTTCTGTCTGCAGGTATGATTTGTTTTGACTCTGATGTGACTGACGTAACTTAATAAAAATGTTGAGAATCACTCAGTTCAGTGAGCCTATGGAACTGTTAAGTGTACAAAATAAACACATTGCTTAATTTTGCAATTGAACTTTGGTGCCAACTTGTAAAAAAATCCAAGCCGCCATCAACAAGGATTGACAAGATATTTGATACGAGTTCTGAGTCAAGAATGTTGCTTTGCAGATTCTCCCATAACAGTGTAACTCCACAGAATATACGGTATTTATTTCTGTAAGGCTGAGCTCATCAATGGCAGCTTCAACAATAACAAAAGTGAATCTGCAGTGTCTGTGTATTTATGCAAATATCATACTTTTGATTTTAGAAAAAAAAACTAGTATATTTCATTATAATCCTCCCAGTTTACAAAATATTTTTCTCTGAAATAGGTTCTACTGATTTACAACTGTCTTGAAATTGCTATTTGGTTTTAATATCATAGTTTTTAGTTAGTTCTATTGTGAATGTGCAATATATTTCAAACCCCATATGTCCTTTAACTATAGCTGCTGACAGATCCAGCAACTTTGAAGTGAGGAATGCTGGGCTTTGTAGTAAAGCACCTTCGGAAGGACCAGAGGTTCTACATAATAGTGTAATTTGGTCATCTATGTTGAACAAAGAACTTCCATGTCGTAAGAGTGTAAATTTGAAGAGGTTTAATGAGAAAACAATCAGATTTGTGTGCCATTACTCATGTTATTCCCAGCCTAAAATAGAGAAGTGTAATATTTATGCAGAAAGATGTCTTTGTAGGGCCGTTTATGAATCTGAAAAAGTACAACTACAGTAATTGCAACAGGAAGCTAGTTCCTGTTTTGAAAAAGGACAAGTTTGCATTGGATTTTTGCAGAAGTTCATAGAACTGCAAAAACTGATTCCACAGCCAAAGATGGCAGCTGTACTTAAAAATAAATGGAAAAATACATCATCAGATAACTGGTTAGCAAGACTTGTAGGATTTTACTTTTGTCTTTCCTTGCAACTACTTACAAATCATGTGCTGGTTTGACTGGGATCATGCTGATTAGAAATTTAATAAAAACATTTCTACAATATACTGTAACATATACTCTCCACCTTAAGAAATAGGGAAGAATTATGTTTTTAATATATTCTCAGTATACTCTGATCGCTGGTTGATCTTAAAAAAAAAACATAAAATCTTTCTACACTATTTATAACAATTTCAGAATTGCCTGGCAAACCCATTTTTAAACTCTATCCATATTTATTTATTTATTTATTTATTTATTTATTTATTTATTTATTTATTTATTTATTTATTTATTTATTTATTTTATATACCACCCTTCTCCCAAAGGGACTCAGGGCGGTGTATAGCCAACATAAAACCCACAAATATGAAATTTAAAAACAGTTTAAAAATATTAAATAGTTTGGCCCATATAATTAAAATAAACAACCCAATTTAAATGTTTTAAAAAATTAACAATTAAAATTTAAAAATTAGGCCAGCCTGGGTTGTTGAAATAAAAGCATCTTGAGGGCCTGGCGGAAGGTGCGCAAGTCAGGAATCCTCCGCATCTCGGGGGGCAATTCGTTTCAGAGGGCAGGAGCCCCCACAGAGAAGGCTCTCCCCCTGGGGGCCGCCAGCCGACATTACTTGGCCAATGGCACCCGGAGGAGCCCCTCTCTGTGGGAGCGAGTTGGCCGGTGGGAGGCTATTGTAGCAGCAGGCGGTCTTCTAAATAACCAGGTCCTAAGCCATGGAGCACTCTAAAGGTGGTAACCAATACCTTGAATCGCACCCGAAGGACCACTGGAAGCCAGTGCAGCTCGCGCAGGAGAGGTGTTACATGGGAGCGCCATGATGTTCCCATAACCACCCGCGCGGCCGCATTCTGGACCAGTTGGAACCTCCGGGTGCTCTTCAGGGGGAGCTCCATGTAGAGAGCATTACAATAGTCCAGGCGGAAGTGACGAGGGCATGAGTGACTGTACGTAGGGAGTCCCGATCCAGAAAGGGACGCAACTGTCCGATCAGGCAAACCTGATAAAAAGCCCCCCTGGCCATGGCCATCACATGTTCTTCTAAGGACAGCCATGCATCCAGGAGGACATCCAAGTTGCGAGCCCTTTCCGTGGGGGCCAACGCCTCGCCCCCAATAGTCAAGGATGGCACCACCCGACTATATTGGGACGCCGGAAACCACAATCACTCAGTCTTGGACGGGTTGAGCTTGAGCCTGTTTCTCCCCATCCAGATCCGCACGTCCTCCAGACACTGGGACATCACATCAAGGGCATCATTGGGGTGGTCCGGGGTGGAGATGTACAACTGAGTGTCATCAGCGTACTGGTGGAACTGCACCCCGAAACCACGGATGATCTCCCCCAGCAGCTTCACATAAATGTTGAACAGAAGAGGCGAGAGGACCGACCCTTGCAGCACCCCACACATGAGGCACCCCGAGGTTGACCTCTGGCCTCCCATCAACACAAACTGCGACCGGTCAGAGAGAAAGGAGGAGAACCACCACAACACGGTGCCTCCCACTCCTAACCCCTCATATCACTGGCCTTGTTCCGTATCCATATCACATAATCTTATTCCTGGGTTATGATTTATACAGCAAATCCTGTCATTCCCTGTATTCCAACACAGCCAACTAAAAACAAAGGAAAATTAAGAGATTCAAGATAAATTACCCTGATACCAGGGTATTCCTGCTTTCTTTTTTTTAGCTTGTTTAAACTAATCTTTATTATTTTTATAAATAACTCAAGGTGACAAACATTCATAATATTCTTTACTTCTCTTATTTTCTCCACAACATCAACCCTGTGAAATAAGTTGGATTGAGAGACAGTAACTGGTACAAAGTCACCCAGCTGGATTTCATGCCTAAGGCAGAACTAGAATTCACAGTTTCCTGGTTTCTAGCCTGGTGCCTTAACCACTAGCCCAAACTGGCTGTCTGCAACAAAAACTGGGCTCTTCTAAGATTCACTAGCATGTAAAGGTTTATACGAAGGTCAAAGAAGGCCTTAGTATAAAATAGGCCACCAAAGGGTGCAAGGTC